ATCTGGAGGGTCAGGCGAGCGATCTGGGAGCGTGGCAGGGGCGAGGAGGAGGCGGGAGGGCGACGGGAGGCAAGAAGGCAGGGCGTCTACATGGGCACAGGTCGGGGCATGGAGTCCTCGTGATCGGGGAATCCTGGTGTATCCATAAGGAGTCATAGAAGGGGGCGAAGGAGTCAGAGAGGTTTGGGGATGTGAGGGTGCGGGAGCTAGGAGAGCATCGCTGTCCTGCCTGGACAGTAGGAGGAAGCTCTGAGGGTAGCCCGATACCATCGGCCGCCAAGAGATCGGAAAATCTGAAAATGCAACGCTTTGGAGACAAAAAGGATATAAAAACGGCCTCGGACTCTCATTGTTCCCGACCTTCCAACAGTAACTCAGCTCGGTCCTTGATCAGCGACTGCCGGTCACGAGACTCATTCAATGAGCGCCGCCGCCGGGCCGTCGGATTGTTCCGAGAGTTGGCCGCGAGTCCGATCAGCACCGGCCGCCGCGGGCGCCCGTCCGACGCGGCCTATGTAAGAACTCGGATAAGTTCTTGGAGACGGCGAGAAGTTCAGGGTATTGCGTCTCATTGGTGGACGAAGCTCAGCGAGATGAGATGGAAGTGGATTTTGACATAGGTCTGGAATTAGGGAATCGATCGGACGAGCCTGAGGGTCAGGCATGAAGAGGGGATTAGTTAGGTGGACACGTGTCCTAGCGCGCAATTCTGCATTGAGGTGGAGAGCAAGGGGTGAAGGGAAGGTGTTTGGTGTGAATAAAGGAGGTTTGGTGGAGTTGAGTGTTTGATCAGAGAGATCTTCTGGTCACCGTAAGTTGTGTTGGAAGGTTGTACAGCTGCACGGCCGCGCCGCAGTTAGGCTGAGAGCCCCGGCGGACGGTCCGTGGCAATTGAAGCCTCACTGCGGCCAAAAGCTCTCGCCCCGTTGAGGGCCCACCGTCGGGTCGTGATCCTTGGTAGCGCCTGACGGTAGCCTCCGCTCTCAGCAGCGACTGGCAAGCCGCACTGACTCAGCTAAGTCACTCAGCAAGTTGGCCCGGACAGCCCTCAGTAAGATTGCAATGTGACTCATATAAATGCCGCACTGAGTCACTGGCACACTTGCCGAGTGCTCTTCCGCATCTTAAAGGCCGCTAATCCCGAGTCCAGGCGGCTCAGTACACTTGCCACCAGCCTGTCCACCCGTGGGGGCCGTGACTCAGTGACCGTACGGTACCGTACTACGGTACTACCGGTACTATACGTGGTAGTACCGGGTCCGACCGTCGGTCTGTCAGTTTGATGACCGTACTGTGATGGTTACTCTCTGTAACCGCCCGGGCATTTGAAGGGGCAAGTCAAAAGTTTCGAGTACTCACTGATCACACTGCAGTGATCCGACGGACATTACTACTGGCAGCTCATTTACTACAGGAGGAATACTCCGAAGGGTCGCAGTTAAGTCAGCTTGACTGGCTCCCGCGTGACGGGAGCCAGTCAACTCCCTCATGGCATCTCGGACTCCCAGCTCTCCTCCCTCCATGCCCCCTCCCCTCCCCTCCCCGCTTCCTCCAGCCCCTCTCACTGCCGTCTGCCAGCACAGCGTCCCTTCCCTCAGCAGCGCTCGCAAGCGTTCAGCCTTGCAGGCGAGCATCGCGATGGTGCAGGAGCACCGGAGCATCACCACCGCTTTGGGTCAAGGACAAGCGCTGTGACAAGAGCCCCCGACCGACGGTGTGAGCAAGAGAGGGAGAGGCGCGGGCGGGGAGCTTGTCTAGTGAGTAGGGCGTTTGTTTTCATTTCATTGGTAAGTGGATGAGAAGCAGCATATCGCTCAACATGTCACGATAAGAGATCGTTTACCTCCATTATCCTCACATCTGTTAACATCAAGACGTTCGTTAGAGGGTCTTGCTGCCTCCATGACTGATAGCCAGGTGAGAGCGATGTCTCGGCGATCTCTGCGGGTAGAGATCGAGCTAGACACGTCATGGCACATCCTAGAGAGTCCGATCACTCGACACAACTGCACACACAAGGTTGATTGAGAGTGATCGAGTAGCTAGCTCTGCTTGTGATCTTCTCACAGCCACGTATCACACACACCTCGAAGCTTTGCGGGTTTCAGACGTCTAGAGCCAATGCTCAAGGCACCTCCGCTGGATCAGATGAAGGTGAAGTTGTGATGTCGAGTTTACTAGCGATGCTAGATCAGCGTGACATACAACATGAAGAGAGAACAGACCCTTCTAGCTGATATTACATAGCTGGTGTTGGCGAGAGGCCGAATAGCATACAAATGAATACTCATCACAATATCAAAATCATTACAGTATTTCTCCGTATCTCCCTGCTCCTGATAGACCGAGTTCTGTGTCAACATCGTAACAGGCAACTGGGCATGGCAGGGCGTCGAGACGTGTTGAGGCCTTGTAAAGCTCAACTCGTCACAGGGCCTGTGCTTGTCCCAAGGCATTCATAATCACCCTATGCTCTCTGATCATGGCGATGCTGGCGTGTAAGGCAGCCACCTGCTTGTCGGAGCTGAGAGGGCAGTATGCGCTTGCACCGACTTGTGGGCGAGCGGGAGAGGGACGATGGACGAGGAAGGAAGGGAGGAGGGGAGGAGCAGGAGCAGAGCATGGAGAGGGAGGGAGGGGGCGAGGAGCTCGTAGGAATGTGGGAGCAGCGGGCATGGCGACCGTCTCCATCCCTGATCTTGCAACGTTTCGAATCGGTCACTTTACGGTAGCCATGCAAGTAAGGTACCAGTCTCCGTACGCTTTTGGGCACAGCCGTTGAAGAATCACGTGCAGCAAACTGAGAGTAGTAACAATCGTGATACCATGTGCGGCCAGACCCCCGCGGCATCTCGGACTCCCAGCTCTCCTCCCTCCATGCCCCCTCCCCTCCCCTCCCCGCTTCCTCCAGCCCCTCTCACTGCCGTCTGCCAGCACAGCGTCCCTTCCCTCAGCAGCGCTCGCAAGCGTTCAGCCTTGCAGGCGAGCATCACGATGGTGCAGGAGCACCGGAGCATCACCACCGCTTTGGGTCGAGCACAAGCGCTGTGACAAGAGCCCCCGACCGACGGTGTGAGCAAGAGAGGGAGAGGCGCGGGCGGGGAGCTTGTGGAGGCCACCAAGTTTGGGTGAGTGATGAGTAGTCTTGTGATGAGTAAACTAGTGAGTAGGGCGTTTGTTTTCATTTCATTAGTCAGTGACATCCTCAAATCTCCATCCCTATAAGTTTGAGTCAAAGATCCACTGGTCTGACTCGGAGAAAGCTGCTGCTGCTGCTGCTGCAGCTGCTCGCTCCATTCGACTTCTTCCTCAGAACTCTCTTCAGCAATTTCTGTTTGAAATGCTCCTGATTGCTTAGATCGAGGTTGAGGGCTCCTTTCCGGCTGAGGTTTCTTTCCTCCTCGTCCTTGTTTCGAGGTCATGAATCAACCACTTCGCTTCCAGAATGTTGTATACACAACACAGAGATTGTCAACGACACGAGTAAAGTAAGGATGAAGAAGATAGAGATGCAGAAGATAGAAGTCTCTAAGTTTACTGGGAGGTAAACTACTGTTAGGATATGCTCCTAAACTGTGATTCAAATAACAGTGCGAGTGATGCGCAGCAGTTCCTTCAAGAAACAAACAGTATCTACGATCCGTAAACCATGCACGTGAAGTTTATTCTTTCTCAATTTTCCTTAAATATAGAGGATTAGCTAAACTAGGAATCTGCCTCAGATACCTCAAAATAAAGTAAGTAAAGTTAGCACAATAAATCCTATCATTCGCTCCCACTAGCACAACAATTGAGAATCTTCTTCACATTGTCTTCGCTGCAAATATCAACGAATCAACAAATTAAAATCCCGAATCATCATCTTCAATGTATCCGTGGTAAATTCACGAGAATGCAACCAAGAATTGTCTGAAGACTTGATCGTACCCTTTCCATTTGACCAAATATTGCACTCGATTACCTTTTCCACGACGTGCTAAAATTCGTTCAACTTCGTAAAAATCTCCGTCTTGTTGAATCAATGGCAATGGAGGTGCCACTGAATTTTCCAAATCAACGTCACGAACGTAATACGGTCTGAGCTTCGACACATTGAAAACCGTTTTCTTCAAATGCTGAAACCTTGCTGTGAATTCCAATCGAACTGAACTATCCGAAACTTTCTCCTGTATCTTGAAAGGACCAATGAAACGCAACTTCATCTTTGCCACTGTTTCTGGTAATTTCAGATCCCGCGTTGAGAGCATCACCATTTCATCGACCTTGTAATCTCGCAGTTTGCGATGTTGCTTCATAAATTTTTCTGTTTGAATTGCTGACAACGTCAATGCATCTCTTGCGATGTCGATTGCAGCCAAAATTTCATTTCTTACCTCTTCGACGTCCTCTTCTTGACCGTCTGGTGACAAATCGACTACAGTTCGAATATCACGACCATAAATAATCTGAAATGGAGTGAGATTTGTAGAATTCCTGACTGTCGAGTTCCAAATTGTCTCCAAATGAATCAAATAATTGTCCCATAATTTTGCATCGTGCTTCAAACAAAAGATACGCAACGCTTCAACAATCACACTGTTGAACTTCTCCACTCTGCCTTGTGCCTGAGGGTGATAAACGCTGCTGTGTCTTACATCCACACTCATGAGTCGAAACAACTCTTCCCAAAACTTGAGCTCGGTAAACAGTTTCAAAATAAGCCTTAGCCGCTTGCTTTGAATTGATTGATTTCTTACAAGGATACAGAAATACTCTGTTCGAAAATTGATCAAGAAACACAAGCACGCTATCATTTCCTCTTTTCGACACTGGTAACGCTGAAAGCAGATCCACAGTAATCTTTTCAAACCTTTCCTGAGTAACCCAATGACTATGTGGAACTCCTGCTGACCTTTGCTTGTAAGACTGTGCCTGTGAACACTCGGAACATGAGTTGACGTAGTTTGTCACATCTCTTGCCGGATCAACACCCTCTACAACTGACGGTTGAAGATGTCACCTTAATCGGTGCCCACTGCGATGCCTGGATCACCTTCAATCTGGCTCGATCCATACCACAATCGCCCTTCTCCAAAACTACAGTCCCGGCATACATGTACGATGGATACTTTCCTATGTGATCCATCGAACAGTAGTCCTCTTCTGCCATACCATCAGCTTCCACAGCCGCCTTCACTTTACCCATCAAATGCATCTTAATAAATTGACTGTAAAGTCCAGAAACGAAATTTCTTTAATATGCTGTTGCCATCAAATATTTCCGTCGAAACTTGTAACATGCAATGATGTGATTGGCACCCTGTCCAATCTGGCGAACATTTTTCTTTTCAAGTTTGATGCTCAACCAGTTTCGCAACATCCAAATCCCCATTACCATTACCCGGTAAGGACATGGCCTGCTCCTCGTACGGTCAGTCCGTGGAACCATCCAACTGATCCTCTTGTCCCCAAAAAGCGACGCTGCCATTGCATTCCGATTTTTCTGATGCTTGCATTGCACCTCTACATCTCGCAACCAAGTCACAAGTGACTTATCAACATCGACAATCCCATCGAATAGCGACACATACTTCATACCAATATTGCAGGTACAACCCGATGCATCCTGTTCATATGTGGACCCGTTATCCAGAGCACTCTTTTCCTCAAAATGCTCTATACTTTTGACTGAATGTGCCAAACAAGCTTGAGTCCCCGACGGCATTTGCTCTGGAAGTACTTCATGGGTTCGCTTAACTTGCTCCATTTCCATACGCATAGCATCTACTAGTCGACTCAATGTTTGACAATTCGCACGCAATTCATCGTTCTCCTCTTGGAGATCCCGATAAGTCACCAAGTTGCCCTTCCTCAGTAAGAACGGTTTTTGTTGTACATCATCCATTCCCAATGTTTTCGGCGCAATGTCCACGCCACGTCCATCCATGGACTCTGGCACAAGAGAACCTGTCTGCCCCGATCCTGGCACACAAGATTGTACCTCACAGATCTCAGACTTCTCCCGTTCACAAGTATTGATTCTTTCTGGAGAACCCCTCATGGTATCTCTCATGAAAGTACCAAACTTTGACATTCCGGGCCAGATTTCACCATACCAGAAATCCCAGAATTGCCAGGACGAACATTGTTCGCAGACATAGATCCACTGTTAACCATGTTTTCTTGATTACTTCGCTACAAGCCGCTGAAATTTCACGAAGTGAAAACCAACCTTCGCTACCAAAATGTTAGGATATGCTCCTAAACTGTGATTCAAATAAGAGTGCGAGTGATGCGCAGCAGTTCCTTCAAGAAACAAACAGTATCTACGATCCGTAAACCATGCACGTGAAGTTTATTCTTTCTCAATTTTCCCGTTTGTCAGTTGCCGGGCGTCAAGGTGTTGAAAGGCAAGCGTTGAAGGGCTCCGAGTAGCCCTCAGGCTCAGGCATCCTCACTTTCGATGCGAAGCTAGACGTTTCCGGCCTCTTGTCTCCATCGCTCCCGAGGCTTCACCCTTGCCAACATGTGCGGTCGTGTTGAGGTTCTTCCTATCCCCATCTCGTCACAGGACCTGTGCTTGTCCCAAGGCGTTCATGATCACCCTATGCTCTCTGATCATGGCGATGCTGGCGTGTAAGGCAGCCACCTGCTTGTCGGAGCTGAGAGGGCAGTATGCGCTTGCCCCGACTTGTGGGCGAGCGGGAGAGGGACCGTCGATGGACGAGGAAGGAAGGGAGGAGGGGAGGAGCAGGAACGGAGCATGGAGAGGGAGGGGGGGGGCGAGGAGCTCGTAGGAATGTGGGAGAGGAGGCGGCAGCGGCAGGCGGCGTCACCATCATGGCCGCTCCAGAGGAGCAAGATACACTAGCAGCGGCTACCTCGCAACCTTTCGTGCAGTGCTGGGCCCCTGGCAGGACCCCCTCCATCATCATCTAAAACCGAGGGGTACTGGTACACTTTGAGAAACCGTGACCGGCGCGGAGCCCGTCACTGGCCGCCGGCCCAGCTCGGGCCGGACGCCGGCCGGGCCGGACAACGCCGACTCGCCAGGCCTGCCAGGGCGGGCCTGCTCACCGGGTCACTGAGGGCCATTCTGTAGGATTTTGGGCAGGTAGGCATATACGGTATCTTGTAGGGTAGTCCCTGGGAATCGAGGGGTGGTTTAGGGATTTCAGTTATTTGTACCAGGTAATTTGAGACCTTACGAAATTGATTTCAAATGTTCACTAGAATAATTTTTATATGTCAATAACAGTACAAAATGAAAAATATTTTATTTTGCTGCCTCCTTGTCCTTCACTCACCGGCATAGATGCAAACCATCTGATCCATTGGATGAGAAGCAGTTGAGAGAGACAATGACACAGGTGAATCAGAAGCCCAACATGCATGTGTGCTGGAAGGCTTGCGACGGATGTGTGATTCGGAAGCTTACACATGTGCTTTGAGTTTTTCAATGAGAGTTTTCCTCTGAAATATTTTATTTTGCTGCCTCCTTGTCCTTTGCTGATGTGGACCATTTGATGAGAAGCAGTTGAGAGAGACAATGACACAGAAGGTATCGCAGATATCTGGAAGCCATGCAGCCCAATGATCGTTGTGAGAGCATTCAAACGGATAATCTCCGTGTTTCACTTCCCTTGTTACAACACTGCGCGCTGGAGAGTTCACAGATACTCTGCAGAGATGATTAGCTTCTCAAGAGACTTTCAGATAGAATTCCAGCAAGAAAAGCATGCAGGCTTGATTTTGACATATATATTCCTGGATTCAAATGAATACTTGCTGTGTCGCAGAAAATTATTGTTGATGCAAAGCTTGACATCTGACTTGCAGCGAAAAGCAGCACACTTGCTGCTCAGATGCAGAGATGTTAAACCAAGCTTTATTTGAGAGGACCCTCAACTTTGGTTTAGTAAACTATCATTAAGCTCAAATTCAATCTACCATATTGAGTGGAGGAGGTTATCTAACATATGGAAACACACTCTGACAATCTGATTATTACGATCAGAAAATCAGAAGTGTTGCATGAATCAGTATCGTAGACCATAAATTTTATAGGAGAACATCCGCTTCGCACCTGCCTAGAACATTTAAAATGAGGCTACCTACATCTGATTGATGGTACAATATGCAGCTATGAGGAAAGCTTAACGCATTTGGGAAATTTCCTCAAATTTTTCCTGGCCCAAACTCTCTTCATTGTCACGAGTCTTTCCATACCATCTTCGAAGAAGCAACATTCTCTTCATACATTTACATGTGTCCATGCTTCTTCATACGTTTGCATGTGTCCATGTTAACTGTTGCAGGTTCTGACAGAAATCCTGTATAAACCTCAGAATGTGCTTCATAGGGGTTAAGAAGGTAAATATGACTGGGCGGCTCATCTGCAGGAAAATCTTCAAGGCTATTCAAAACTTTCCAAACATGAGGAGGATACGATTTATCCTAGACAAACACATGACGACAACGCCTTGTGTTGTGTTGCTCCCGGCATGTAACATGCCAAAGCCCCATTGACGGTGAAATTCGCATCCTTGCTTGCCATGCAGTGTTGCTTGTAGAAAGAGAATGCTTGGGATCTCGAGAGACTCTGCTCAATCATCACAATCTCATGCTCTGTTGTAGAATGATGCCATTCCAAACATGAATCTTCTTTGGCTGCGGTGGGACGATTTCCACCCACCCCACATAGATTTTGGGCTAAGCAGCACCGGTATGTTGTGACATTCTGTACGGGATTGGAAGTTCCTGGTAACAATATGTAAACATCATGTATGTGTTTATATATATAAAAATTAATAAAACGAAAATAATACAAATGTCTAACTGACTCATACAAAAATAGCTATCAGATATTTGAACAAAAACACGCTGTATTAAAACTAATTCAACGACCCCTCTCAAACAATCCAGGTACCACCACCCCCTTATTCAGGGGAAACCACCGGGTCATTAGTCATAACCGGTACTGGGAGATCGAGAACTGACAAAAAGCCACTTTTCCTTGGTTTTTCCTGGGCGAAATCCTACAGAATGGGCGTCTCTCCTGATTGTCCTCGTACTGATTTTTAACTTAACTTTGAGTAAAGCAGCGAGGATTTTATTTAAAGTGCCTTTTACTCAAACTTAAGTTAAATGAATACAAAAACCAGTACGAGGAGAATCAGTTTTACTCAAAGTTAAGTTAAAAATCATTACGAGGACAATCAGTTATAAAAGCACTTGCATTTTGGCTTGGCAGACCCAGTGGCAGACCCCCGACTGGCTTCCGGCATGGCGGCGGTGGACATGTTGGCAGGAGCAACGGCAGGTGATGAGGAGGAGAGAGGAGAGGAGGAGAGGAGCACGGAGAGCAAGGATATGATAGAGCACGAGAACAGATAGTGCAGGAGAGGAGGGATAAGATGATTGCTCGTCACAAGTTTGCTCGAGGATACCGAGACTGGGGCTTCAATGAAGATGACGGCACGAGGAGACGGGGAGGAGGAGAGGAGTGGGAACAGGAAAGGAGGTGGGAACAGGAGAGGAGGAGAGGAGGAGAGGAGAATTGAGTCGCTGGGGGGAGGAAACGTGCTGGAAAGTTAGCTGCCTTGATTCTTTCCTTGTGATTCTCGACATTCATCATGAAGGTGTCGTTGCGCGTCTCGTATGCCATCCTATCGACACGATGAAGGCGAAGCATCAGGTCCAAACGGGAAAGGTCAAGTTATCCTTCATGTCAGTGTATAGAAGCGAGGTATGCTGCAACCCTTCCTTGCTATCTTCCCTCTCGTCCCTGCTTGCCGCATTGTTCTGCTTGCATGTTCGTTCTCCTTCTTCCTTTCCTTCCTCTTCTCCCTCCTCCCTCCCTCCTATCACCGTAGTCCACTGCTTGATTCTGCCGTCCTCCTTCCTCTCCTCCCCCCTCCATGCTCGCTTGCTCCCATCGCCCTCTTCGTCCTCACGTGATCGCTTTCTCGCATGCAGGGGCTTGCAGGGCTCTATCGGGGGATCGGAGTGGCGGCGGTGGGCAGCTGTCCGGGAGCGTGCTTGTACTTCACTACCTACGAGCAGATGAAGGCGAGGTTATGAACACCAACACAGCACGATGTAGTATTGTGACGTGATGATACCCTGCCGTGTGATAACGCGCTCACATATCACAACGTGTTGTTACACTCCTCTCCCTCTACTCCTTGTGCTTGACCTCCCTCCTCCCTCCTCTCTGACATATGCTGCCCCCTTCCACTCTCCTCCTCTGTGTCCTCCCTCCCCCCACGTCGTCCTCCCCCTGCGTCCTCCCCGCCCCCTCCCCGCGTCCTCCTCTCCTCCGCGTTCTCTTGTCTTGTCTTGATAGAGTCGTCTTCCTTGCAGAGCAGGCTCAGGAGTTCGCCGTCCCTCGTCAACTTCCCAGTCGTTGCGGATTTTCTTTCAGGTTTTAGCGCAGAGGCCGTAGCTTGCCTGCTCTTCGTGCCTGTCGACGTTGTCAAGGAGAGACTGCAGGTAGGAGGCGTGAAAGACTTTGCTGTGCTTTCAAACTTGTCTCCATGTCCCTTCCTCTTGTCTTCGCCCTTGTTTCACTTTTTGACAATCGCCCTCGATCCTGCTGCCCCTGCTGCTGCCGCTGCTGCTGCTGCTTCTGCTCTTGCTCCTGCTGCTGATGCTGATGCTGATGCTGCTGCTGCTGCTGCTCCTCCTCCTCCTCCTCCTCCTCCTCCTCCTCCTGGTTACAGCTTCTCACACTCCTCTCTCTTCCTCCCTGCCCTTCATTATCCTCCCAAGTCTCTTCGTTTTGTCTTCCTCCTTTCCTTCCATCCTTACCTCCTTCACTGCTCTTCTCCTCCTCTCATCTCCCCCACTCGCTGTCTTGACTGGGAGCTCAGGTGCAAAGCTCCCTGCCCAATGCGAACCAGTACCGGGGGAGTTTACACGCCACGTGGCAGATCATGCGGGTAGAGGGGATGAGAGGTGATGAAGTAGAAGGAGAAGAGATGATGATGATGAGGAGGAGGAGGAGAGAGAGGGAGGAGGAGGAGGAGGAGGAGGAGGAGGAGAGGGAGCAGGAGAAGGAAGGGAGGGGGGGAAGGACTAGGTTTAGTAGTAGAAGTAGGAGGAGGAGGAAAGGGCGAGTTGGTAAAAGGAAAAATGGAAAGGGAGGAGATGGATTAGGGACAGAAGGTGATGAGAGGCAGGGAGGGAGAGGG